CTTGATGCCTGACGTGCAACACTGGGATCGTAATCCAGACGACGACTGGATCATGAGGGCCGCTCGTAACGCTGTATCGAGGTGGAGGACGAGGTACAATGTCTCTGAGATAAAGGATCGGATGTACTCCCGATCGCCACATGCTGATCGCAATCCGAATGCCGCCGCTCCTGGGGTACGCCGTCCTTCGCCGTTTGGGGAGGCGGAAGAAGAGGCTAGGCTGGAAAGAGAAGAGGTTGCCAGTCTACCCCACGTTTCCAGAGGGCGAGCAAGTGATGGCGTCATCTACCGAGACGACTATGGCAACAGAGTGAAACTGGACACTAGAGGGAGGATCTACTACGTTGGCAAAGATGGCTACAAGATCATCAAAGGAAGTACCAGGCCTTCGCATTTCATTCCCAAAGAATGGCAGACTTATGGTCGACTGCTGAAGGAGGACAAGTCCACTGAACCTAAAGGTCCAGATCCGAAGGGGAAGCGAGGAGACGACGACTTCAAGGATGCCGCTCCAGGTATCGCGAGGTTGCCCTCGGCCCCCAACAACAAACGGATCAGGATGATGCTGAAAGAGAGATGGGGAGGTGATGACTGGAAGTTCCAATGGCAGTTGTTGACTAGTCCCAAGACCATTCGAGGTCCCAGGATTGGTACTCCGTTGTCGTTGACTCAACGGGTGAGAATTGTGATTGATCCGGCTAGTGGTAGTGTGCTGGGAATGGACTCAAGATGGGAATTAGGTGAAAGCGAACAGAGTGTCAAGCTTGAGCATGCCTTGCCCTATGTTGCTGTGATTTATCCTTGGAGATATGACCCTGAGGGCATCAAAGATGACTCCCAAGGACGGGCATTCACAGCGATGATCAGAAAGCTGATTGGGCAGGCTGCGCCTGCTAAGCCACCTGAAAACCGAATGAATTTGCCCTCTGGGGCAGAGTTTTGGAACGAATGGGAGGAACATGTTGCTTGTGAGTCTTTCAAGAGCGAGCCCAACGAGGGATCAGACTCTACGACCATGGGGACTGTTCCGGCCATGCCTTGCATACCTTGCGAGAAAGAGAAACAAGAGCACCGTGAGAAGCTGCGTGTCACAGATGCGCAGCGGCTCATCAATTCGTTCTACTCGCTTGTGGCCAGACCTGTGGGAAGGAAAGAAATGTTGACCAACCCTAAGGCTTTGGATTCCATGCGAAAGGAGTGGGATGGGTTGTTTGCTCAGGATGTCTTTGACTTATCTTCAGTTCGCGAGTTGGATGATGTGATTCGCGAGGCAAAGGAGAAAGGCGAGGAAATCCAGATTGCAGGCGCATGGCATTTGTGTTGAAAAGAATTCTCAGCTGGCTGAGGGCGATCCCAAAAGAAAGTTCAAAGGGAGAGCCGTTGTGCTTGGCAATCAAATCAAGAATCAGAGCTTTGAAGCCGCAATGTTTCAGGACCTGGGAAATTCCCCGGCCACGTTTGAAGCTTCGCGGTGGGCTGACTTTCTTGGTTGCTTGGCCGGTTGGGATGTGCAGATTGCGGACGCCATACAGGCCTACGTGCAGGCTTGGCTCCGCGGAATTCCGTGCTGGATCGAATTACCACCGGAGGCTCTTCCTCCTGGGGTGGACTGGTCCATGTATCGGAGACCTGTCGTAAGACTGTTGAAAGCTCTTTATGGACACCCTGATTCGGGAACGTTCTGGGAGCAGCGCTGCGACGAGGGCGTCAAGAAAGTTGGCTTCACCCCGCTGGGGGAGGAGTGGCCTTCTGTCTACGTGCATGAAGAGCTTCAGTTGTTCCTTGTGATCTATGTCGACGACTTTAAATTGGCTGGACCCAAGAAGAACTTGAAGCGTGGTTGGGGCCTTCTCCGGAAGGAAATCAACATTGAGCCCGAAACTGAGTTGGGCATGTACCTTGGTTGTAACCAGATAAAAGGGGAGACCAAGCTTGCCGATGGGCACGGAGTCGCGACTGTGACCTATGAGATGGAGCGCTTTTTGAGCTCATGTGTTGACCGTTACCTCAAAGTAGCGGGAAACGTCGAATTGAAGAAAGTGGCGACGCCTGGGCTGCTTGAGCAACCCGAACACCATCCGTCCAGAGCACCGTGCGGCAAGGGTGATTGGATTGAATGTGTGTGGTGTAGATGCCAAAACCCCATTCCGAAGGAGCGATGGAACAAGACCTTGAGTGAACTTGGAGAGCTCCATCCCCTTCCACGGGGAGAAGGCAGCCGGAGCTGATTCGTGGTCAGCTGGCCCCCCATGCCGCTAGTGTACTCATGAAAGTCCTCTACGGGGCACGGATTGCCAGATTTGACTTGCTTCGTCAGGTTAATCTCCTGGCGAGAAACGTTTCGAAATGGACGGTGGAGGATGACAAACGTCTCCATCACCTGATGTGTTACATCCATCACACCAAAAGCATGAGAATGATTGGTTGGGTGGGTGACTCACTTGCTGACTTGCACCTTGCGGTCTACTCAGATGCGGACTTTTGTGGGTGTGAAGAGTCGGTGAGGTCGACAACGGGAATGCACATGAACATCCAAGGAAATCACACGCGGTTCCCACTCGCTGGGGGATCTAAAAGGCAAGGATGTACGTCTCACTCGACCCCTGAGGCCGAGATTGTTGCCAGTGATGCCGCTTTGAGGACCCTTGGAATCCCTGCGTTGACGATTTTGGAGAAAGTGTTGAAGAAAGTGCCCAAGTTTGTGTTCTACGAGGACAACAAAGCGATGATCGCTGTCGTCCGGACGGGCAAGAACCCGACCATGAGACATTTAGGACGCATTCATGGGGTGAGTATTGCTTGGATCCATGAGATCTTCAACCTCAACTACGTGTACTTGGCGTACGAGCTGACCGACAAAATGGCAGCCGACATATACACCAAGGCATTTACGGATCCTCGCAAGTGGAAACATGCTTGTTTGCTGATCAACTTGATGGAACCTTGGATGTTGCAAGACGCTGACACGCTTGCTGCACTGAAGCCAAGTTGTGATCCCGTCAATGAGGAATACCAGTCTTCGGCTGGAGTTGTGGATGGGGTACCAACTTTCCCGTACACTTCCGTGCCTGTGATGCCACCGGATTTGTATTGGAAGGGGCTTTCGTCCAAGGAAGGTCTGCATGAGCATGAAGGTCATGATCCCATCGTCGTTGCCAAAGGGCCTAGATTGATGCGGTCTCGCCCACCTGGGCCGGCCTATAGTGACATCAACACCCGATGGTTGCGGTCGACTTGGTTTCTGAAGAACGGTTTGCGGCGAAAGGTTGAAGACCGTGTTGAGCCTTCTCTAGGCATGACCAGGATCGGAGTGGATTCAGCGAGCTGTTTGGCAGTTTCATCCTGTCAAAGAAAGTAGCTCAAAGGGTATATCCGCCGCGGTCATGGTCAAGCATGTGTCGGATGCTGATTGCTGTGAGCCTGCTGATGATGTTGAGCATGGTCCGTTGAACTTGAAGCTGATCCAACTGGTTGAGTCGTTGCGTGAATGGAGGATTCAGAAACGAAGAGTTGACTCCATTGACTCAGAGTCGATACGTCGCTTGAAGAGGTTCATGCGTGCCGCACATGTCTGTCGTGACAAAGGGAAATGCGATGATGCCTGGGCGAAAGGGCAAGGGATCAAGGAGTTCCTTCCCACGTCCATGAGCAAACCCTTCGTCCCGATGATGATTGAGGCGCAAATTGATATGGCCTCTGAGGGACGGATTGCCTTGCAGTTGTTGAAGCATGACGGATCGTTGTTTGGAAAAGAGTTGATGATGTTGGCGCCTGGGTGGAATGTGTCCATCAAGCTATACGGTGTTAACCATCTCTCGCCAACGATCGTATTGGCGTGTTCAGAGCCACAAAACTGGTTCACAGTGATTGCGCCGCGTTACGACTTGCAAGTGGTGACAGTGACCGTTGATGATGACCTGACGACTGAGTACGGACAGTCCATGGTCAGGAGCTGCATCAACAAAAAGGATGACCTGATGTTCTTTGCTGGTCCTTGCACCGGAGGGTCGTCATGGGCTAGGTTGAACAGGTCAAGAGGCGGTGCGACTGCTGAGCTTGTGGAAAGTAGGCAAAAGGAGTTTTGGAAGTTGTTCAAGCACTTTGAAGAGAGCAAGGAACATGCCATTTCGCTTGGTGCCGCGGTCTTGTTTGAGTTGCCTCGTGGTTGTGACTACTGGAACGACCGGCGTGTTGAGAAGAGCTGTCAGACTGGCGTCGTTCATGACTTTGATGGATGTCGGTACGGACTCAAGCAGAAGCATGCCAAAGGTGGAAAGAGGTTGCCAATCAAGAAGCCGTGGAGAATTGTTTCTTGGAACATCAAGATGGGGGATTCCCTTTCCAAAAAGTGCAGTAAAGACCATGAACATGCTCCTTGTGCTGGTTGTGAGACACGTGACACGCAGTTGTACACTTCCATGATTGTCGGAACTGTAGTTCGACGATTTTTGGCTCGAATGAATGGTAAAGACCCTGATGGTAAGCCTGCTTTGTGCTGCAGACGAAGAAGAGTCTTCTTCGATCGGCGACTACCTCTAGGCGCGACTTCATCGTTTACAAGAGGATCCGTCGGTGAGTGCCAGACGCACGAGGGTGCTGGAGCCCGTTCTCCTCACCCGAGTGCTGGGCACCCGACTGTCGCTGAGTGCTGGACGCGCGAGGGTGTTGGGGCCCGCTCCCCTCTCCCGAGCGCAGAGCGCCCGACTGCACGAGGCGAGCCACGCAGAGAGCTCGTTGAGGCTTGGCTGGCTCATTTCCGGGCCAGTTACGCCCGGACTCTCAACTGGGAATCTTGCCTAGGACTACCTGATCCGCTAGCACCGAGGAGAGGGCGTCTTCTTCTGCCCGAGCTTCAAGGATGCGGCCAGAAGGGTGACCACACAGATACAAGAACTCACCAGAACGACATTGATCTTGCCGAGAATAGATGAGGGCGCAGGTTCGTTGGAAAGCTGCAAAGCAGCCACTTCATCAAGAAGGGCTGCAGATTCATGAGGGCGATGGCGACGACCATTGGTGAGATGACCATCGGCAATCAGGTGGTGGAGGGATGCGACATGAATGTCATCTCGAAGCATTTGCTTTCCACGCCAGTGATCAACGGTCTGGGGGAAGTCTGGAGGCTGATAGAGAACGGCCACGCAATCGACGGTAGGAACGCCATCAACGTGACCAATGAGGACACCTTTGACCTTGTGGTGATGTCGAAGATGAGAGCATCGCGCACCAGAGGACCTTTTCCGGGTCCCGAGGGCAGAGACGAGCCCGCTTCGACTAACCGCTGGACAAGGGGGCCCAAGAGAATGCGCGGATTGGGGAGAGCGTGGACAGGATTTGGAGCGACGTTTTCAGGTTCCCTGAGTGGAAAAGAGGCGTGGTTGGTGTCTCCTTTGGCAACCCCAAACGCTACACTCAAGATGACATTGGGAAGAACCGTGCATTGCTCTTCGATATGGAACGAGCCCTCATGATGTGTTACAAGATCTTGCTGTTCACACTGAGGAGGACCAAGTACCTGGACAACAAGACGGACATGGTCTGGCTGCTCAGACTCTGGATGAAGGGGCACGGGATAGAGGACCTGAATGCGAAGGAGGCAACCATCATGTTTTGCACGGCCGAGATCCACTACATGTTCTTCCGACTGGCTGAGGTCTTCGACATCAGGGATGACACCTTCATTGAGTGTGTTGGTCCGCTGTTTGGAGAGACACTGCCAGAGATGGACAGGATCAAGTCGAACCTCATGGAGTTCCTGAAGATGTTTCCTTGTGGTTTCGAGATGTGGAATGCATTCAAAAGAGGAATGGGAGTTTGCAACTATGTCTTCGCTGCAAATGCGCCCCACTCCATCCACGCTAGGAATGAGAAGAAGTTGAGACGAGATTGGTGCGAGGAGTTGGAGAAATGGAATGACCGAGTACCCCCTTGGAACGCGAACAAGTATTACGGCGTGTTCAAGGCTCCGGACAGACTCCCCGAGCTGGACGAGAACTTCGGTGCTCACGGTCTTCCAAAATGGTACATTCAGCATGGGGCAGAATGGAAAGAACCTCCACCTTTCGAGTCCTACAGGACGAGACCGGCACCCAAGCCAATGCCGCGGAGTGCTCACTCGGCCTCCTCTGGTAGTGGGCCCGCTCCCGCTCCAGATGGTGGTCGAGGCACAGCACCCGGCGTCGAGATCAGCAGCGATGAGGAGAACGAGGACATCGACTTCGGCAATGATGAGATGAAGGCCTTGTTCATGATCTCGGGTGGCAAGCCGGACAACAGATGGAAAATGGCAGAACTACCTGCGGGGAGTGCAGTCGAGCGTTGGCAGAGAAAAGGGATCAACGGGAATCTGGTCCGCGGTGACGTGGTGAGGTACGCCAGCTCATGGACTTTCCTACCCTACAAGATCTTGTTTCCAGTGCCGATCGAGAAGGGGAAGGTGAATCACTGGGAGAAGTACCTGCGGAAGGTAACCACGTGCTTGCTTGCCTGGCATGAGCCAGAAAAGTACATGCAGATCACCAAGTCATACGGCAAGAGCGACAATGCGGCGTGGCTGAAGCTATATGCTTACCTTTGCCAACAGACTTCGCTTCTGGAATGTGAGTTTCATCCTGGAGCACGTCAGTTGAAAGCACTGGTGAGGGCCGCAGACAACTTGGACAATGAGCCAATGAAGCTCAAGCTTGCGGCGAAGATCCAAGCCCCTGAGCACCTATGCGACTGCATGGATCCACCGCAGATGATCGACATTGCTGCACGAAAGATGGGCTGCGTCTTGATGTTGGATTGGCCTCTCAGGGGCAAGTCGAACCAGGGCAAGGTCTACCTCGCCGGGATCCAGCTGATGAGCGACCTCGGGTGGGGAAGTGTGCAGGAGTTCTCCGAACCCCGTGACAACACGGCAGAACCCGACAAAGGAGACGTAGGGCTGCTGCAGAGAATCCAACATATCATCAACGTCATGCAGGCTGATGAGAAGATGAAGTCTTACGCAGTACATTTGGTGGTGTCGATGCTGCATTGCATTGATGGAAGAGCCAACAAGTGGATCGTCAAGGACGGGATTGTTTGGTCCAGCCTGGATGCAAAGCTGAAGACGTTGGCCGCGACCACCCACAGCCTGGTCTCTGTCTATGTCAACCACAATGCTGCCTTTCATGGGGCAACGGGCGACCTGGGCATGTATTCCAAGAAGTTTGCGAACATGTGCAGGGAAAAGGGATTCCTCGTCACTGATGTGCAGTACCACTGGGACGCAATCGCGTCGCAATGCGACGCAAAACTACACCTGCAAGGGTGATACGCTAGCCTACGCCATTCTTGACAGGATGCTGATTCCTTCTCAGCAACTGGCAACTGGCATATCTCCGACTGTCCAAGGTGCAGATGAGCTCCATCGTGGAGGGATGCGTCGCTGAAGAGGAGGTGAGATTCAATGTCCCGCCTGGAAGCGACCAGAAGCGCTTTTACAAGTACGACCCACCACCACAGAGCTCCGGCCTTCGCGAGGACGAGAAGGAGAGAACCTTTTCCTCGGCAACTGCAAAGCTGTCTACCTCAGACGAAGAGGACAAGTCTTGGTTCGAGTCAAGCCAGCTGGCAAGTGGGATGTTCTGCGAGAATTGCAAGTCTGGTGGTGTCGAACAACAAATGGACAGAGTCAACAAGGACCGACCGGAGTCGTGCATCAACTGCGCGGCCAACAGCCAAGCTGACTTCCACGGCTACACTACATCGAGTGTCAAGAAGAATGAGATCTTGAGGTTGTTCGTTGAGATGTGCGGGATCGTTGACATGGCCAAGTTCTCCATTGGCAAGAAATTCCCCGACCTCATCGTGGACATCATTAAGACCTTCTTCAGGACAAACGTGGCGAAGCCGCTCTCGCACTTGGGCTACATCACGATGGACCAGGAGTCTTTCGAAGGGTTCTTTGGTAGCTCTAGGAGAGGAAAGCAACTGGTTGTGGAGGAGTTCCGGTGCAAGGTCCACGAAACTAAAGAGATTAAGACCTTCTTTCGGATTGGAATGGACTATGGCAACGTCTGCTATGCTGGTTGGTGGAGGTCACTTTTGAGTACGACTGTCTTGGGAGAGTTGTTCTCTAGCCTCAACGCAGAGCTGCTTGGTGACGGCTTTGAGATGCTGCTTGGATTCTTCGAAGTCCTGCAACACTTCGAGACTGTGCTGCCTCAATGGGGGAAGATCTACAGCTACAAGCGTGGGCTCGAGATCTCCATGATCAACTTCGCGAACTCCGGAACTGTCGGTCCCGAGATAGTGAACAACAAGAGGAGACCTCCCCCTGCATGGCCTATGGAACCTAGCTTCTGAGATGAAGAGGGTGGAGAAGATGGTCTATGCTCATCCCGTGTCCGTCAAGGTCATGGCTGCTATGGAGGAGAAGAGAAGGAGGACTGGGCCCGCTCCCGCCTCCGGATCTGCCTCTGCTTCCGCCAATGCACCGAGTGCTGGGCCCGCTCCCACCTCGAGTGCAACCAGCGGACATCGACGTGAAGAACGGCGTGAAGCCTACCGAAGAGCCCAGGAAGAGTACGAGGAAGAGCAGGACGTACCGAGCTCTGGTTCTGAGTTCCCTGGAGACTACGGAGGCCGCTACGACGACAACTCTGACTTCGAGTGGTACGAGCCTGATCCTGAAGAGGAAGCAGAAATGGGGGATGACGATCCTGAGGATTGGATTGGAAACTGCACGGAGGAACAGGCAGAGTACGCTCGCGAGGCCAGTGATATGGGCTTCGAACGGATGTCGGACTACTTCGCGACGATGAGGCAGAAGGCGGCCCGCAAGAAGGAGAAGGCAGAAGAGAGGGCGAGGCGCAAAGGCAGGAATGAGAAGGATGATAGGCACATCATTCTAGAGATCTTCGACAACGGCATCAAGGAAGCCAAGAGGAGGAGAATCTGCCTATGCTGCCAGCGCAAGGGCCACCACGCCGAGGAATGCGAAGAGGAGGAGAAGAAGAAAGAGTACCAGGAGAAGATCGAATGGATCCTTTCCAACGTTAGAGGTCAGGAGGAGCAGCAGCATCATCAACAGAAGAGGCAAAAGACTGAAGAGTCGCCCAAGGACGCCTCTGACCAGTACAAGATCCCAAAGGATTTTGGTCATCGGGGTCAAGGTTCGTGGCGAAGATGTACGAGAAGCCCATCTCTTTGGAGGACCTGGCTTGCTTGGCTGAGGGCGGAATGTACCACATCAAGGGCGAGCTGCTAGAGGGCGTCAACCACCTGGAGCTTACCACGGGTGTGAGGAGCATTCGAGTGCCTGATGTCTTTCAGATTCCTAGCCGGGAAACCTCGAAGTATGCTGGGCGAGATCGCCATGGAAACTGGTATCCGGGCTACATGAGTGCCTGCGCTGGTCTCCCGAACTTCGCGGAGCTTGAGCCGGTCAACCCAACTGAGATGTGCTACGGCTACTTTCAGGACTCAAACTTCGATGCTGACAGGACGACAAGGGTCATGACACCCCGCCAGATCACCGAGATGTCGAAGCGCCTTTCCTATGCGGCAGTTGGCTGGAACTAAGAATGGCGAGTTTTCCTGTGATGAGGGAGGTTGGGTTAACATTGATGATGTGCTTCGCAACCAAGTCATCTTCAACCATGATGGATGCACATGAGACTTCTCATGGAGGTCCTCAACTACCAGCTTGAATGTGCAATGGAGAAGGTGCACTTCCAGGTCCTTGGTGCTAGGTACCGATGGGACGTGGAATGATTGCGAGGACACAGGAGCACTTGGCGTCTTTGCTCAAGGCTGATAGTGGGATGAGCGAGCAGGAGATCAATGAGGTGCTGGGAAAGCATCAGGGGTGGATTCGGCCATGGGTCATCCGTGCGAACTTTCGCAAGGCATACACTCCCTTCTCCCGGTCCCATGCTCTCGCCGTGAAGCTCGACCCTAGCTTTGCTGCACGTTTTGGTGGCGCCTACTAGATCACCATGGAGAGGTCAGACTGCTGAAGTTTGGGATCCTACCGCCGTGGAGTGCCGGAAACTACTCCACCACCACTTGGATTCCTGACTGTGACCACTTGCTTGTCGTCTACGTGCCCGCACTCACACTCGTGAAGTACGACTGTGGACTCACGGAGAACGGGACGGTGATCTGCGGCTACCCTTTACACTTTTCGGAGGTCGAAGGGATGTGGATCGTTCGTGGGAAGCGGAACATGGCGGTTGAGAATCCAGTTCGCGTGTTTTCCAGACATGTGGTCAACGAGATATGCGTTGGATTCCGATTCTCCACTGCTCCCGACGGTCACCAGCAGTTCATCCAGAACATGGAGACTTTCTTGGACAAGGTCTCCAAGGCGAACGGACAGGTGCAGCATGTCGCGACGCTCCTGGAAGGTCTCAAGAAGGCCGAAAGAGAGATGGAAGTTTTGCTGATCAACGAGTACGTTCTCGACATCAGGAAGGAGCTCGGTCGAATCTTCACTGACGATGGATGTGACTGGGAAGATCACCTCTGCAGGGTATGCCCGGCATGTGTAACTCTGATCCCCGCCTTCCTCACCTTGTGCGTCAATTGCAAGGGCCGGCTGCTTTCCGTCGGGAAGTTCATCGAAGAGATCGTTGACGACGGCGACGAGGTTCCTGAGGCCAAGACGGAGGAGAAGATGCCCGAAGAGGCAAAGAAGGCCAAGGAGAAAGCCATGAACACCGAGTCCAAGGAGGAGGAGTCGAAGGAGGAGGACATGGACGAGGAGGAAGAAGTTAAGGCCTCCGGTGCTCGGGCGTCTGGGGACCAAACGTACTTTGCCGCCGACAACGAGGACGCAACGGACAACGAGTACGAGGCACCACAACCTGACGGTGATGATGAAGTGCCGGTCACACTCACTTTCGATGACCTCATGGCGCTGCCACCCGCAACGTGCCTGAACGGAGAGGAGCCAGGAAGCTACATTGCCTACTTCCTTGCATACCACCTCTTCCGCAAGTGGAGGTTGTTTGAATCTCTCGCGGATAGGGACCCGCAGGAATACATTGATCATCCAAGCGCCAAGCCCTATGCCGCAAAATACGAATGGCCTGTCACTCCGCGTGGACCTGATGGAGTACCTCTTCCTCCCGACATCGACACCGCTCGCGAGTATGTCAATGCACACTGGCGGAACTTTGAGGGCGACGTGGAGAAGAATGCGAGGTACCTCCTTCAGAAGCTGTCAGGGTACTACCACACTTACAAGCTGTGGAGAGTGGCTATGAACTACCACATTAGCAGGGACGTGTTCAAAAGAGACGGAGGTGCAGACCAACGAACAGTGGTCGGAGCAATCATGAGGATACTCCGTATCGCTTACGGCATGCCCTACGTCGCCTTCACCCCTGGGTGGTTGCAGACTGTTAGCCTGGCAAGCTACTTCCTTGTGGCTCACATTGTGACGACTGACGTGAAGAAGGATGCCGACATGCTTCTCGTTGTGTGGTGTGTCCAGAACGGGATTGAGATACCTGAAGGTATCGTTGCTCCCAAGCAAGTCGAAGCAGCAAAGGAGCGCTTCAGGATGAAGGCGCGCAGACTGGCCCTGGCTATGTAACCAGTGGCTGGTAGATGATGACACAACATCGACGGCAAGTGCATCGTGGAGTTCGGATGGAGTGAGCCGAGGCGTGTAGGGCCCGCTCCCTACCACCGAGGCAATGCGAGTTTGGCAGGATCCTTGCTGGGCCCGCTCCCACTTGGTGAATGCTCAATCCCGGCCGGCATAGGTGTGCCTGTTCGGAGTGAATTTTTGCTTAGATTGCGGAGCCTGAGTTTCGTGAAAGCCAGCTAGGGGCCAGGTAGGATGTACTGCATGTACTGGCGAAGCCGGATAGTATCAGCCGAGAACTTTTAAGTTCGGGAATGGGTAAGCTACTGCTCATCCCTACTAGCTGGTGCCTAACATGCCAGTCAATTTTAATCGCCTGGGGAATGTACAATATCCGCCTGGACTTGATGCCTACGCCGGAGCGAAATGCTTGCTTCCGCAGGGATGATGCCTAGGAGTTCGTGACATGGGGGAACCGAGGCCAAGGGTTTTCTGTTTGGAGCGACAACCCGAGGATGAACCTCCGTTTGCCGTGGGGGATGCTGAGAATCCCTTGACCGTGATCCATACGGCATATAGGTTCTGAGGGTAGGCGTGTCGCTCTCTTTTGGATTTCTTGTTTGGGCCCCAAAAAGGAGCTTTTGCTTTGTTAAGGCCAGGTTCATGTGTCCCAATTAGTTTAAGCCCAAACGGCCGACGCCGTTTGGCTCAAGGCCTCAGCGGCCAACAGACTACCCACCATGGACTCTCAGGCGGTGGCATAAAAGGTATCCGATCCGCTTTAACGAGTGCACGGACGCCCCGAGGAATCTTGTGTCCTTACAACACTGTGCTTTGGGACCATACTATTTCACCACATCAACTGGGTGGGGACGCACGCCTCCGCGCGAGCGATCCATCCGACGGCACACTCGCTCACACACACTCACTCACACACACACTCGCTCACACACAGGGGGCAGCATTTGGCAGCTGTCTAAAGGGCCGGGATGTTGTCGAGCGCGCGGCTGGGGACCCCCAATTCGCGTGGCAGGCGCAGCACTTTGGAGATGCAGGTGTTGAAATCGTGGCGGCGCAGTATGGGCATGTGTTTGTGTGGCAGGGGCAGCATTTGGCAGCTGTCTAAAAGGCTGGGATGTTGTCGAGCGCGCGGTTGGGGACCCCGAATTCGCGTGGCAGGCGCAGCACTTTGGAGATGCAGGTGCTGAAGTCGTGGCAGGCGCAGTACTTCGTGCTCTTGGGCGTGTGTTTGTGTGGCAGGGGCAGCATTTGGCAGCTGTCTAAAGGGCTGGGATGTTGTCGAGGCGCGCGTTGGGGACCCCCAATTCCGTGGCAGGCGCAGCATACTTTGCATCGGAATCCGTGGCGGCGCAGTAACTTCGTGCCTTGGGCGTGTGTTTGTGTGGCAGGGGCAGCAGTTTGGCAGCTGTCTAAAGGGCTGGGATGTTGTCGACGCGCGGTGGGAACCCCCAATTCCGCGTGGCAGGGCGCAGCACTTGGAGATGCAGGTGTTGAAATCGGGGCAGGCATAACTCGTGCTCTTGGCGTATGTTTTTGTGTGGGGGTTTTCACCTCCAAGTACCCAGTGCTCCTTCGGGGTTGCCGTGGCTCACGCGTTGGGGGCCCCCAATTCGCGTGGCAGGCGCAGCACTTTGGAGATGCAGGTGTTGGAATCGTGGCAGGCGCAGTACTTCGTGCTCTTGGGCGTGTGTTTGTGTGGCAGGGGCAGCATTTGGCAGCTGTCTACAGGGCTGGGATGTTGTCGAGCGCGCGGTTGGGGACCCCCAATTCGCGTGGCAGGCGCAGCACTTTGGAGATGCAGGTGTTGAAATCGTGGCAGGCGCAGTACTTCGTGCTCTTGGGCGTATGTTTGTGTGGCAGGGGCAGCATTTGGCAGCTGTCTAAAAAGCTGGGATGTTGTCGAGCGCGCGGTTGGGGACCCCCAATTCGCGTGGCAGGCGCAGCACTTTGGAGATGCAGGTGCTGAAGTCGTGGCAGGCGCAGTACTTCGTGCTCTTGGGCGTGTGTTTGTGTGGCAGGGTCAGCATTTGGCACTGCTAAAGGGCTGTGGATGTTTGTCGAGCGCGCGGTTTGGGGGACCCCCAATTCGCGTGCAGGCGCAGCGTGGCAGGCGCACACTTTGGAGATGCAGGTGTTGAAATCGTGGCAGGCGCAGTACTTCGTGCTCTTGGGCGTATGTTTGTGTGGCAGGGGCAGCATTTGGCAGCTGTCTAAAGGGCTGGGATGTTGTCGAGCGCGCTGTTGGGGACCCCCAATTCGCGTGGCAGGCGCAGCACTTTGGAGATGCAGGTGTTGAAATCGTGGCAGGCGCAGTACTTCGTGCTCTTGGGCGTGTGTTTGTGTGGCAGGGGCAGCGTTTGGGAGCTGTCTAAAGGGCTGGGATGTTGTCGAGCGCGCGGTTGGGGACCCCCAATTCGCGTGGCAGGCGCAGCACTTTGGAGATGCAGGTGTTGAAATTGTGGCAGGCGCAGTACTTCGTGCTCTTGGGCGTGTGTTTGTGTGGCAGGGGCAGCATTTGGCAGCTGTCTAAAGGGCTGGGATGTTGTCGAGCGCGCGGTTGGGGACCCCCAATTCGCGTGGCAGGCGCAGCACTTTGGAGATGCAGGTGTTGAAATCGTGGCAGGCGCAGTACTTCGTGCTCTTGGGCATGTGTTTGTGTGGCAGGGGCAGCATTTGGGCAGCTGTCTAAAGGGCTGGGATGTTGTCGAGCGCGCGGTTGGGGACCCCCCAATTCGCGTGGCAGGCGCAGCACTTTGGAGATGCAGGTGTTGAAATCGTGGCAGGCGCAGTACTTCGTGCTTTTGGGCGTGTGTTTGTGTGGCAGGGGCAGCGTTTGGCAGCTGTCTAAAGGGCTGGGATGTTGTCGAGCGCGCGGTTGGGGATTCCGTTTTGCGTGGCAGGCGCAGCGCTTTGGAGATGCAGGTGTTGAAATCGTGGCAGGCGCAGTACTTCGTGCTCTTGGGCGTGTGTTTGTGTGGCAGGGGCAGCATTTGGCAGCTGTCTAAAGGGCTGGGATGTTGTCGAGCGCGCGGTTGGGGACCCCCAATTCGCGTGGCAGGCGCAGCACTTTGGAGATGCAGGTGCTGAAATCGTGGCGGGCGCAGTACTTCGTGCTCTTGGGCTTGCGTTTGTGTGGCAGGGGAAGCATTTGGGAGTTGTCTAAAGGGCTGGGGTGTTGTCGAGCGCGCGCTGGGGGTGCATGGCTGTACGCATGTGCGCGTGTACGCCCGTACGCGTGTACGCGTGCACGCCTGTGCGCGTGTGTACGCGTGTATGCGTACGTACGCTTGTACGCCTGAATAACTGTACGCATGTACGCCTGTACGCCTGTACGCGTGTACGCGTGTAGGCGTGCAGGCGTGTACGCGTGTACGGCTGTATGCGTGTACGCGTGTACGCGTGTGCGCGTGTACGGCTGTACGCGTGTACGCCCGTACGCGTGTACGCGTGTACGCCCTTGCGCGTGTACGCGTGTACGCCCGTACGCGTGTACGCCTGTACGCCTTTACGCGCGTACGCCTCTACGCCTCGATGTGTGTACGCCTGTACGCGTGTACGCGTGCACGCCCGTACGCATGTATACTCGTGTACGTCGGTAGTGTACGCGTACGTACGCCTGAATGCCTGTACGCATGTATGCCTGTACGCCTGTACGCGTGTACGCGTGTAGGCGTGCAGGCGTGTACGCGTGTACGGCTGTGTGCGTGTACGCGTGTACGCGTGTGCGCGTGTACGGCTGTACGCGTGTACGCCCGTACGCGTGTACGCCCTTGCGCGTGAACGCGTGTACGCCTGCGCGCCTGCACGCCTGTACGCGTGTACGCATGTACGCGTGTGTGCGTGTGTGTGTGTGTGTGTGTGTGGGCGTGTGTGCGTGCGTGCCTGTGTGTGTGTGTGTACGGCTGTACGCGTGTACGCCTGTACGCGTGTACGCGTGTACGCCCTTGCGCGTGTACGCGTGTACGCCCGTACGCGTGTACGCCTGTACGCCTCTACGCCTTAATGTGTGTACGCCTGTACGCGTGTACGCGTGCACGCCCGTATGCATGTATCTCGTGTACGCCGGTGCGCGTGAGTGCGTGTACGCGTACGTACGCTTGTACGCCTGAATGCCTGCACGCATGTACGCCTGTACGCCTGTACGCCTGTACGCGTGTAGGCGTGCAGGCGTGTACGCGTGTACGGCTGTATGCGTGTACGCGTGTACGCGTGTGCGCGTGTACGGCTGTACGCGTGTACGCCCGTACGCGTTTACGCGCGTACGCCCGTGCGCGTGTGCGCGTGTATGCCCGTACGCGTGTACGCCTTTACGCGCGTACGCCTCTACGCCTTAATGTGTGTACGCCTGTACGCGTGTACGCGTGCACGCCCGTACGCATGTATACTCGTGTACGCCGGTACGCGTCTGTGCGTGTACGCGTGTGCGCGCCTGCACGCCTGTACGCGCGTACGCATGTACGCGTGTGTGCGTGTGTGTGTGTGTGGGCGTGTGTGCGTGCGTGTGTGTGTGTGTGTGTGTCTAGCCTAGACCTTGCCGCCCTGTAGAGTCGGCGGAGCCCGGCTGGAGGCCATAATGTTGGGAAATCAGAGTCAGGCCTTGCAAAATGTTGGGTTGAAATCTTGCCAAGCCGTTGGGATCCGTCGGGATTTGCTTTCAATTTGCGATCGAAATTGCGCCAAGCCTTTGGGGTTCGAATAGAAAATTGCAACTTCTAAGTACAAAAGTAGTACGTGAGGTACAGTTTCGCAGCTCCGGCTCGAAAATCGCAACTTCTAAGTACAAAAGCAGTACGCGAGGTGCAGTTTCGCAGCTCCGCCTCGAAAATCGCAACTTTTAGGTACAAAAGTAATACGCGAGGTACAGCTCCAAAATCGCAACTTTTAGGTACAAAAGTAGTACGCGAGGTACAGTTTCGCAGCTCCGGCTCGAAAATCGCAACTTTTAAGTACAAAAGTAGTACGCGAGGTGCAGTTTCGCAGCTCCG